TCAGCCCAGATGTCATCTCTTCTCTGAGGCTGTCTCAGAGCACTCTGTCACTTCTCACCACACTATGGAAGATTGCCTGGCTGTGTGTTTGTGTGTGTGTGTGTGTGTGTGTGTGTGTGTGTGTGTGTGTGTGTGTGTGTGTTGGGGATATTTTGTTTTGTTGTTTTTGTTTCTAGCCTCTGTTTACTTTCTGTAGCCTGGTTCCTTGTAGAATGTAAGCTCCACGAGGGCAGGAGCTTGTCTGTCGCAGTCATCGGATCACTGGCATCCAGTAAGTATTTGGCACATAGTGACTTGCTCATTAATGGTTGTTGAATGAGTAATGTCTAGGAATGGTTGTATAAGCCAAAAATGTAGAGCAGTTAAAAAACATATTGGTTGTTGGTGCATCTGATAGGCCATTAAAACGAAAACATCAAGTCTGCTGCCTTTGAGTTTATTGGACTCACATTGACCCTATAGGATAGAGTAGAATTGCTCTGTGGGGTTTCTGAGGCTGTACATCTCATGGACGCAGACTGCCTCATCTTTTTCCTGCAGAGCTGATGGAGTTTGAACCAGTGACCTTTCAGATAACAGCCCAAAACTTAATCCCCTGAACCATCAGTGTTCCTTTGTGAAGTCAATAATAATCACATTTGAATAAGAATTTACATTTATAGCACGCTTTTCAGAAACCTTCCCTCCTTATGTCAAATTCAGATTCTTCTCAACCTTAACATTACTGACAGTTCAGACTGGATAACTCTTTACTCTTCCATGTATTAGAGGATGTCAACAGTACCCTTGGCCTATACCCTCCAGGTTCCAATAGCACGTCTCTCTCCCAGTTGTGACCACCAGAAATGTCTTCAGACATTGCTAGCTGACCTCTGTAGGACAAATTTACCCTCAACTGAGGACCAGTAGTCCAATCTGCTCTTCACTCCACCCTGTAAGATACACCATTGCCACTACCCCATCCTCAGACGGAGATGTCTGCGTTTGACTCAGCCTGGAAGGGAACCACCCTATAGACGCCCCATTCCGTCTTCTGTCGCTTATCTCTACAGAGACCACACCTCCTGCTCCGAGCCGATGCCCTTGTCCAAAGTCTTCTTGATCACGTCCCCTTTCTTTCTGAAAACTCTCCGAGTTTGAATGTTACATTATTTGATCACTTCAGCTAGGCCCTCAAGAAGACATGGGGAAGGCTTGAATAGAAAAGGTCATTTTCTTTCCATTGCTGATAATGATTAGTCTCGTGCAACACAAAGCACCAGACCACTTCCTCAATTTGGAAATTCCGGTGAACACAATCAGATGGATGTTCTTCTCCTTTGGGCCACTCGATTTTCTAAACAAGGAATTAGATGGAATAAGTATTGGGTACCAGAGTGCCATAATGGGTTCAGCACTCTGGAGAAATGAGGTTTGGTCATCTCATCCTTTACCTTTTTCCTTTAGGAAACTGTCTCACCCCAAGCTGGTCCAGCTCTATGGGGTGTGCCTGGAGCAGGCCCCCATCTGCCTGGTGTTTGAGTTCATGGAGCACGGCTGCCTGTCAGATTACCTGCGCAATCAGCGAGGGGCCTTTGCAGCAGAGACCCTACTAGGCATGTGCTTGGATGTGTGTGAAGGCATGGCCTACCTGGAAGATGCATGTGTCATCCACAGAGACCTGGTAAGAGGATGTGGGGTGCAGGACACACACATGCAGGTCCAGGATGTATGGCAGGACCCAAAGAGAAGCAGAGCTACCAAAGCTGAGGTTGCAGTCTCAGATCTGAGCTCTAATTGCAGAGCCATCTCTAACTGTGGACAGTCCTTTGCATGCTGAGTCACCGTTGACATCCTTCCAGAATGGAGCAGAACAGCACCCTCCCACTTATCCTCTCTGCACCTCACTTCTCACTTGCTAATGAATGGGCAAACCCAATTTGTCTCAATGTGTTACCCAAGAGCCTGCCAGAATCACATTCACATGATCCCAAGGTGATCCTCAGCTCCCTGGAAGGGCAGGGGGTGGGGTGGGTCTCAAGAATATTTTGACACGTTTATAGGTGGACTAAAGTTTGAGAATCACGGGGGTTGGTTATCACTGAGAGCTCATCCATGCAGGTTCTGTGGACAGAACCAGAGGGATGGTTTTAAGCAAATCAACCTCTAAACATTCTGATTTTTGTCAAGTGGAAAACCCTTTCTCTCATAACTTGCCTCATGTTAACATATCTGATCTCTAGTTGCATCAGAGCACATCATTGGTTAGACAATACCATGAGTTTCTCTCTTGATTAGGAACTCAGGAATATAGATAGAAGAACAAACATACTCATCCCAACAAAGGCTATTTATACAACCAACTTCCCAGCTCACTTTTACGAGGTGCTTGGGAAGCTTAATTAATGTTTGTAAGCTCCTCTAGGCCCTTGTACGACAGCACATGGAAAAGCCAAGGATGGTGATTACAGGGGCTCCCTAATTGTTGATTATCCACCAACACATTTCCTTTTGCTTTTATTTTTCTGTCTCCTCTCCAGGCTGCCCGAAACTGCCTGGTGGGAGAAAACCAAGTCATCAAAGTGTCTGACTTTGGGATGACAAGGTAGGAAGGGGGTGTGGTGCCAACACGGTCTCAGGAATAGGACCCAGGCGCCCGGCCTTCCTGACCCTCTCCTTGCACTCTGCTCCCAGGTTTGTCCTCGATGATCAGTACACCAGCTCCACAGGCACCAAGTTCCCAGTGAAGTGGGCCTCCCCAGAGGTGTTCTCCTTCAGCCGCTACAGCAGCAAGTCTGATGTGTGGTCATTTGGTAAGAGTCATCTTGGGTGCCATGTACCCAAAATCTGAGGCTGTGGCCTCTCTGTTTCCTTTGTCAACTACGGCGATTCTTCGCACCCTGACTGCTTGATGGTAAGCGTGTCCCACTGAGAATCGGTGTGTGTAACCACTCTGAAGACTATGAAAGAGCTCTCCTGATCATATCCCCTCTTGAAAATGTTTGAAACGAGGCTGAAAAGAAAAGTAGGCATTTAGGTAGGATTCTGGTGGGTTCCTCTGTGAGGTCAAGAGCTGGGGAGAATCAGGAGATTGGAATGTGAACTCTTCAAAGTCAGGGACCATGTTTGGCTCAATGTTGCATTCCCGCACATAGCCCTCAAGACATATTTTATTCCTTCCTTCCACGATTCATTGAGCATCCCCTGGTCCCTGTGTGGTGCTGCTCATCAAGAGGCTCCAGGTTGGAGTCCATCCAGCGGGATTTCAGAAGAAAGACCTGGAGATCTCCTTCCAAATATCAGCCACTGAAATCCGTATGGAGCGCCGTTCTATTCCAACACACATTCACATGGACGGACAAACTGGTTCTCCTAAATGCCGGGGGTTGTGGCTGAAGTGTTGCAGGGAAAAGAGCAAACTTCTTTGGGAGTGGAAATTTATTCACGGGGGATGTGGGGCAATCTGATAACAATCATGGGAAGATAAACTATTTAAAAACAAAAACCAAAGAATAGTTCCCATTGAGTCAATTCCAACTATTGATAACTAACTGCCATGAACAACCTGCAGCCGAGTGATTGCAAGGGGAGGCGGGGGCAAGTCTGCTTTAAATAGTGGTTTTCGAAGGCCTCTTAGAAATGGTGGGCTTTAAGAAACACAACATGATACAAGGACCATAATAGCTTTTTGAAAAACAAACAAGATTCACACAACAAAACTTGTATTGATTCAACAATTTCCGCATGTCCAGTTCTGTGGCATTGATTACATTCAACAAGTCGTGCCACTCGCCGCCCCAGCTCGCCACCCCACCGTGGCCCCTGCTGTCCTCCTCCTAATTGTTTCCCGACTATCAGCACAAGCCCACTGCCGTCTAAGCTTTCATCTAACTTTTCAAATTACAGTTCTCACTTTGGTCTGATGCAGATTATTCTATAAAGGAGCATGTGCTTAAGGTAGACGTTCTTTTCTGGTTAAGCTAAGCTCTTTGGTTTAAAAATGACTCCAGGGGTTAGCTTTGGTTTATGATTTAAGGATTTCTTCAGGACAGTGATTCCCCAAAATGAGGAAAGTCTGGGTTCCCAGAGAAGTGAAAGTTCTGTTTCACATCCTCTTTTGATCAAGATACTTTTCCTGGTTCTCCTCATCCATCCCCCATGATTTGGGGGTTTATTAGAAAGTTTAGAAATTACAGTTCAAGATCAGAACAATTCAGGGTACAATTCTTTGATTAGGGCAGCCTCTTCTCAGCTGCACCCACAAGTATGCCTCTCTCGGGCTCTTGACTTCTGGGCCATATGGCCCGCTGCCCTCCGCCTTGCTTCAGCAAGCATCACACAGCTCTTTGATCAAGTGCAGGGGGCACCCACTGCCCAAAGGCACTCAATTTTAAGTTACTGAACACACTTGGAAGAAAGGAAACCGCACTAACAACATTTCAGAAGACTTTCCTTCAGTGCCTAGGAAGGTCACAGCTGTGCTAGTTCGCAGCCACCTCCAATTGGTGGTGGGGAGCTGAAGGTAGTCACACTGCCCCCAGGAGGGGAGCCAGGGAACTAACAAGAGAGATGTGCAAGAATGGCCGCTCTGACACGCTCACCTCCTGTTCTGAATGGAGTCTGCTTCCCCATAGAGAGTTGACTTGGGGGTTCTCTGTGGCCCCTTACAAGAGGGTCAGGATGATGCTGGTGCTTGTCGAGGTTGTGTCATTTGGAGAGAGACCAAAGATGAGGGTGGCTGAGAATGAGTTCCGTGAACAGAGTGTGAGAAAGAGAAACCTGGGTGGCCTGAGAATTTCACCCTGGCTCAGAGCCATTGCCCTTCAAACCAGGCATTTGAAGGTTTGTTTGGTTTTTTTCCTACCTTGGCTGTGTGAGTTGAAGCAAGTCAGGTGACCTCTTTATTCAGTATTTCATCTGTGCATGGAATATGTATTAGAAGGTCTGTATCAAAGCTATTGTTTCCAAACCTTCTCCCCTCTCCCCCACCTTTTAGTAGCCGAATCCAATCTTTCAAATAAATTCCACTAGGAATCCTGCCATCTGAGGATACTCTGAATCAAGACAAAGCCAGGTGCTGTCCATTCTGACTCATGGCAGTCCCATGTGTGTCAGAGCAGAATTGTACTCCATACGGTTGTCAATGGCTGTGCCATTCTGGAAGTAGATCACGCAGCCTTTCTTCCAAGGCAGCACTGCGTGGATTTGAACAACCAAACTTCTGGTTAGTAACTGAGCATTCAACCATTTTCACCAGCCTGCGCTCCTCTTTGGGAGTCTTGTTAACAGTCAAGTTTTGAAATTCCCAAACTCCCAGGGTACCTCTGGAGACTTCCTAGAGATTCTGATGGAGTCTGGCCTGAGGTCCAGGAATCTGCCGTTTAAGCACACTCTTGAGGGGACTTTTTCATGCAGATTATGACTTTGGGAAACTCTGTCCTCAAGTTGTACGGCATTTGCCCTGGAAACCACTGGAAGCTCTCTTCCCACTCTGACATCCTCTGGCTGTATTGGCATACGACAAAGCCAGCTGGGCCATCCCGACTGAGGGCAGAAGGGGAGTCAATCAGAGGGCAAACGCGGACAGCCTGGCTGCGTGGTTTGCTTGCTCTGTTGTTGTTGTTGTTGTTGGGTGCTGTCGAGTCCGTTCTCACTCATAGCGATCTCCTGCACAGCAGGGTGAAACACCACCGGTCCTGCACCAGCCTCACCATCGTTCTCATGGGTGAGCCCCTTCTTGCAGCCACTGTGGCAATCCCCCTTGTCAAGAGCCTTCGTCTTCCTCACCGCCCCTATGCTTCACCAAGCATGATGTCCTACACGCCAAGTTAAGGTCTTAAAATTCAAGTTAATGGTGTCCTAAAGTCAAGTTAATGGCCCAAAAGTGAAATTCCTATTCTAAAACCCCATGTCTGACTTCCATTTGAAAAAGTCGAAAGGGTGCAACCCTTCACTCTTCTTCCACATGTCTTAACCTTGCCGGAACTGAATCCCACCGGTCATTCTAAGGCAGAACTTTGGATCCCCCATTTTCCACCCTCCTTGCCCCTCTGTCCCCAGTTCAGTGCAAACTGCTTCACTCTGTTCGTTGATACCATCTCTTTAGGCATTTGAGGTTATTTCCGGCAGTGTCAGTCATAGGCATTTGAGTTGGGTTTAACAAAACCTTGAGCTAGAAATCTCTTCATCACCAAGAAGGTTAGGAAACCTCAGGTCTTTAGGCACAAGAGAGGCATTGTCAGCTTCCGATGGACTTCTTGTACTTCCTGGAGGTAGGAGCTTGGATCATAGCCAAGGAATCCATAATTTCTAGTGGATGGTTGCTTTGTTACCTGTGGACTTGACTTTATCCTCTCCATCTCTCGTAGGCGTGCTGATGTGGGAAGTCTTCAGTGAAGGCAAAATCCCATATGAAAACCGAAGCAACGCTGAGGTGGTGGAAGACATCAGTATGGGGTTTCGGTTATACAAGCCCCGGCTGGCCTCCTCAAGTATCTATCAGATCATGAACCACTGCTGGAAAGAGGTGAATGGAGGAGGTGGTGTCCCTCTGCAACACAGTTGATGATTTCAGTCTTTTCTCTAGAGCATTGAGTGCCGTTAAAAGAGACAGCCAAGCCCCAAACCAAACTCACTGCCCTCAAGTTGATTCCAACTCATACGGATCCTACGGGACAGGATAGAACCGCCGCTGTGGGTTTCTGAGACAGTACTTCTTATGGGCATAGACAGCCTCTCCTTGTTCCCGAGTAATGGCTGGGGGTTTCCAACTGCTGACCTTGCACTGAGTGGCCCGATGAGTAACCCAGTACACCACCAAGGCTAGCAGAAAAATGACTTGGAGGGCCAATTGATGAAGGAGATTCTCTATTGCGAATAGTGATCCTCCAGTGTATTTGATTGACTGCATCATCATACGCCACAAACACAGCCTTGGAGAGGCTATGGAGTGAGACCTCATCCACCCTCTTCCCTAATTCCCTAAGAGCTTTTTCTCTTATCAGTAACATCATATAATCAGTAAAAAGTCCATCAAATTGTTTCTATTAATTGGGAAACATTCACTTGTGCTGTGACTATATTAAAATGTCTAAATTAAAGTTCCTTGTATTGGTTCGATAAAGCTATATTGAGAGCCTGGTGTGCATCAGACACTGGGGATTCAGCATAGGGAGCTAATTACTCTGTATGCTCCTATGTGGCTCAGTCAACCCCTGATATGATGTTATGTGAATTGTGCCATGAGCTGCTTCAGCATGAGTCTTAGATGGCCTGTAGAAAACTGTACATTCCAGCCCATGTTGCCGACAGAATTAAAATTCTTGCCACTGAAGGGCAATGAGGTGAAATCGAGAAAGCCCGGGACACGTGTGCTTTGCCTCAGCTTTCTCTGTCCTTAGGCATAATGTTGGGCCAGTCTCTTAGGGTCTTTTTTTCTCACCTTTGTCCGGAGGAGTAAACTGGCCCTGGCCTTGAGGTTGGCTTCACAACGTGTAACCCACTGTCCTACAAGGGCTCCTTAATAATAATGATAGTGGACATTGATTTAGCACTTTTTCCCCATCTTCTAATGATTATTTTTCATCAGTAGATTTTGTTTTCTAGAACAGTTTGATATACAGAAAATTGCACAGAAAGGACAGAGTTCTCCTCCCTCTCCACCATGCAATTTTCTGTATGATTGACATGTATTAGTGGGGGGCTTTTGTTACCATTAATGAGCCAATATGCATGCATAATTACTAATTAAATATTGCCTATACTTTAAGGTTCACTTTCAAGGGTGCTTTAATAATTCTCAGGGTTTTGACAAATGCATAATGCTATGTATTCACCATCCCATTATCTTACAGAATCATTGCCCAGCCCTAAAATGTCCTTAGTCGTTTTTCTCTCCTTTGCCTTCCGCCCCAGGGAACCACGCTTCATTTTGCCATCTCCATCCTTGTGTCTTTTATGGGGCATGATACCCTTGGAGCCCTGCAGCACATTGCCTTTCCAACCTGACTTCTTCATCTCTCACTGCTGTTGCGCCGATGGCGACTTGAAGCCACCCTGTGGGGCAGGAGAGGCTGGCCCCTGCGAGTTCCTGAGACTAGCTCTTCGTGGCGATAGAAAATTCTATCGTTCTCGCACAAGTCCGCTGGTGGTTTGGAACTTCAGTTAGCTGCCCAACAGTTAGCCATTAAGTCATCAGGGCTTCTCAACCTCTTCACTTAGCAACATGCATTGAAGGGTCCTCCGTGTCTTTTTGTGGCTTGAGAAGCATTGCTTGGGTGCTTCCACTTTGGAGTCATCATATATAAGGTTTCCTTGAACTGTACACCTTTGTGTGAGGGTTGTTATGTGGATTTACGGTTTTCAACTCAGATGGGTAAGAAACCATCAGGCTCTCTTCCAAAGTGACTGTACCATTTGCATTTCTGGTCACAGTGAATGGGGATTTCCATGGATCTACATTGAGTCTTGCCTGTGTGTTGAATTGTAGCTGTCTAAGAAGCATGCCGTGACAGCTCATTGCTGTATTCATTTGTAACTCCCTAATGGCACATGGGACCAAGGAGCCCTGGTGGTGGGGTAGGTGGGCTGCTAACCACAGGTCAACTATTCTACTTACTAACCACAACAAGGAAGAAAGATGAAGTTTTGGGGAAATTTTACCATATTATTTTTATTAATTTTCCATAGCCACATCTCATATGTTATGTTTATGCTGTTATAATGAGCTTGTATAAATACCAATGTCTGTAGTTAAAAAATAAATAAAATATTTTCTTCTTTTGTTGAGGGAGTGGGGGGTTGTGCTGTCCAGTTGTGCCAGCTACATTTGTTGTACAGATGACCCTTTCTCCATGGAGTTACTTTTGTCCAAGCTCAGTTGACTCCATTAGGTGGGCCTGTTTCTGGGCTTTCCAGTCTATCCCACTGGTCGGCCTTTCTGTTCGTTTGTCAAGCACAGTCTTGATTCTAAGTCTTGGAGTCAGAAGATGTTAGGCCTCAAGCTTCCGTCTTTTGTACTCAGTTGGCTGTCGAGATCTTTTGGTTTTTCGTGTAAAGTTTCACATCCATTTCTCTATATCTACCCAAAAAACTGAGTAGGAGTTTGATTGCGGTTGCATGGACTCTGTAAATTGAGTTGGGAAGAATTGATTGACATCTTACAACTTGCCTTACTTATCTAGGACTGTTTCCGCAGAAATTCCACAAATGGGTGGTTTACAAACAGACATGTATTTTCGTATAGTTTAGAAGCTTGCGAGCTGAATTCAGGGTGCAGGCTCTCGGGGAAGGTGTCTCTCTCTGTGTCAGTTCTGAAGGAAGGCCCTCATCTTTACAGCTCCTGGGCAATCTTCACATGGCCTGGCATTTCTCCAGGGTGTAAAATATTTTACTTATTTTATTTTTTCACTGCAAACATTGGTATTTATATGAGTTCATTATGATAGCATAATAACATAATTTATGAAATGCTATATCGCCATGGGAAATTAATAAAAATAATACACTAAATGTTTCCCCAAGCTTCACGTGGGGTACAAAACTCATATTTTGTGAGGATACAACTCAATCCATAACACCAATACATCTCATTGTCTATGAAATAATCCCCATTTATTCAGATCTTTGTTTTCTTTCATCAGAATGGTATCATCTTCCTCATGTAGCTCCTGTTCCTATTTTGTTACCTATATACCTATTAGGTATTTTTTTTAGCACGTTATTTTAAATCATTTTATTGGGGGCTCGTACAACTCATCATAATCCATACATACATACATGTGTCAAGCACATTTGTACATTTGTTGCCATCATCATTCTCAAAACATTTGCTTTCTAGCTC